TATTGAAGAAGTAGTTACAGAAAATCTTCTTCTTGTCAACGGGTGAAGATGATCTTCCCTTCCCACCTTTGCCTTTCTTGTTGTTCTTGTCGGCATGGGATTTCGGAGAAGGTGTAGGAAGTACCGATGCAGCTTCACTCTTCGCTTTCGCCTTAGGACGTTTGGGAGGATCACCTGTAGACGATGCGGCCGCTTCATTCTCCTTCTTGGTCTTGACGGGAGCGGCAGGCTTGTCTGCATCTTCTAAGGCAGGTGTCGTCTTGTTAGAGGACAATGACAGTTTCACTGCACGTTCTCTATCTTTCAACAGTCGTTCTTGCTTCCCTCGTGCTATGTATCCCTTGATCATACCAGTTAGGTAAGCATAGGTCTTCTCATGATGCCCTTCATCAAAGGTTTTGTATCGGTTGATATCGAAGGCCATAAGTTTTGAATGTTCAATCTTCCGGAACAACGTGTCACGCAGGGAATTGTTGGAAGGCAGATCATCATGTTTCATATTGTATACGATGTCAAGCCACTTGTTGTAGAAGGCCTCAAGTTGGTCATCTCCATAGTAGTTGAACATATACAAATGATGGGCATTGTAGAGAACTTCAGTGTGGTCAGGTGACTTGAAGCTAATCAATATCATTGCAAATAGTTCTCGTCCCTTGATGAAGTCCCCACTTCTCCCATACAATTGGTTCTTCATGGACATGTCATACTTCACTTGCATGGACTTGTCCCCAGCATTGTCAATGACTTTCCTCAAGGCATTGGAGAGCTTGGCATCAATGGATTGGAATCTCACATCAGGAGCTTTGGCCAGCGCCTCCAAGTCAGGTTGATCTGCAAGACACGGAGCTAACCACGCCTTCCAATCTTCATAGTTTCGATCTCCACTTGCAACGCAAACTTCATGAACGACACTTCCCTTCCAGGATGAAAGTTCAGTGGTCTTAGGCCAGGGTTGGAGACTGATCTTTTCGGCTTCTCTTAGAGATACAGATGACTTGGATCTATCCCTTTCAAGGTTCTCCAACTCCTTGACATTTGTGTTGTACTCGTTCCTGAGCTTCTCGAAGGCTTCAGCTTCTGCTCGGTATTCCTGCTCTTCATCATTGGCACGATCTTCAGCTTGAGAGAAATTGTTCTTATAGTAATCTTTACGATCTTCCATCTTCTTCAACTCATCTTGAAGATTTCGAACTTCAGCGTTCCTCTCTTGCTTCATCTCGTCCAACTCTGCTTTCAGTTTGACACACTTCTCTTCACATTCATTCCGAGGCATGGCATTACTGGGGTACCCATGTAATGTAGTCGGTCTATTCATTGATGAAGAAGAATGAGCTTGGTTTTCCAACTTCAGGGCAGCAATGGTGCTCGACATTTCTTCTACCTCAGCGTAACGCTCATTGGCCAATTGATGCATCTCGGTCAAATGGCTTTCAGGAATGGAATAGTCAGTCGCACCTTTGATCACGAGTCTTCTGTCGTTCAACATCTTGATGGACTTACCTGCATCCCTGTGAGCACGCTCAAGAGAGTCCTTTTGGGCTTCAAGTTCAGTATGAAGGCGAGCAATAGCTGTATCCCTGTCATTGAGTTCATTGTGCAAACTGTCAAACAAGGTACTCGTCACATTCGGATTGTTGCTCATGTGATCGATCTTGTTCAGAGCATCTTGATATTTCTTACCAGTTTCATCAAAGTTTCGCTGGAAGACTTTGAGCAGGTCCTCAGTGTCAATGAGTTCAGATCTATTCTGCAAGTACAATTTGTCAACTTCGGCCTTGGATTCTTTCAAGCTGTCACGTTCACGCACGGCTTGCATGTACATCTCGTATAGAGGTCCTCCATGCGGTGATCTGCTCGGTGAAGATCTTCTGGCTTGTTGACAGGAAAGTTCATGATACTGATTCTTCGATTCAGTCAGTTGCTGTTGCATTCGATCTAAAAGACTTTGTTTCATGTGTAGTTCAGAACGTAGTCCCATTATCCTCATGTCCCGCATGCCACCTGATTCAGCTAGAGATTCTTCAGAAACCCTGTTCTCAGAAATCGCTAGTCGAGATTGTAAGTTCTCACTGTGGATCACCTGTAATCGAAGCTGTGATTCTTCCAAAGCTAAGTGATGTTCACATTCTGCATAACGGTCATGTTCAGATCTTATGTTACTACGGAACTCCTTCATGATCTCGTCCCTCTTCATGTCAGCAGCATCTAACTCAGTTTCCAGTCGCCTGACATTCATGGCCATGGTGTGCTTCATCGTCTGGTTCTGATTGGCAACCTCGAGCATCTCGATCTGCAAAGCACATGTTTGGTCATTAGCATAGCCGACTGCTAGAGCTTCTTGCTTGGCATTCATCTCTGCGTTTTCCAGTTCCAGTCTGAGTTGATTGATGTGAGCATTCGCGTCAGTTCCCACATGTACCATAATTGCGTTTGCTTGTCCCATTTGTTCATCGAATTCCGAACGTAGTCGTGAATATTTGAATTCCAAATGAGATGCAGCTTCATTCGGCATAGTCTGATACCTTTCCAACTCTTCGATCCTGTAGGTCGCACCTTCATCTTCCTGTTGTGCAGCCTGTAACTCGAAGTTCAGCATCTGGAGTTGTTCGGTCATCGACATCATCTCTTGATGAGTGGTGCTTTCTAGGAAATTAAATTGTTGATAGGCATATGCTGTCGTCTCACTCAATCTTGCCTGAAGTACAGATTCTTCTTCAGTGGCCCTTTCCAGTGATGTTTTGTACTCAGCTAATTCACTCTGATAGGCAGTGAAGATGTCGCTACCACTTGACGGGGCATTCACTTGCTGATAAGATCCTGTCCCTGATGGAGTAGCGTCCTGAATCGGTGAAGGCGGATTCGAAGACGTAGTCTTTGCCTTAGTCCTTGGGGTCATCGGAGGCGACAATTGTCGTGCAGATGATCTTCTCTTTCCAGGTGTGCTGTCCCTATCTTCAATTGCTTGCATTGTCGAAATTTGTCTCCCTCTAGGAGCAACCAGATGTCGCCTGGGTTGGCTTGTTCTCAGTTCTGAGGCATCGCTTCCACCAGTGTCGATACTCTGTGAAGAATTTGACTGCGTGCCGGCAGCTGGTGCAACGGCATGTCCAGAGAAAGAAAATGCATTATCGCTGCTATCCTGTTCAGTCATCTGTAAGGCCCGCGGCTCCCCGCTCGTAGGCTCCGTAGGAGTCCTACGGCTGATAACCTGCGAATCGGGGATTGCCTGTCCGATTATATTCCAGTAATTGATGTTGATGTTTGTTGTTCCAGTAATGACTTCACAAAGACGACAGCTTCCGCATGGCGTTCCTTTTCTCTGTTGCTGCAGTGGGTCTTGAGCCAAAAGGGCGATTGTCATACCCTTTGGCTGTGGGTCTAAGAGTGATGAATTATGTGATATTGTACTTTGGTCCGTAGCTTACACTCTATTCGCAGTATGTATGTCTGTGTATGTATGTCTGTGTATGTATGTCTGTGTATGTATGTCTGTGTATGTATGTCTGTGTATGTATGTCTGTGTATGTATGTATGTATTTATTTATGTATGTATGATTATGTATGTATGTATGTATGTATGTACGTACGTACGTACGTACGTATGTATGTATGTGTGTGAAAAAGTATTACTGTATGTGTATATATATGAATATGTACCTGAATATGTATATGAATATGTGCCTGAGTATATGAATATTTGCCTGAATATGTATATGACACGCATATATGTACACTGTATATGTCTATGTGTGATTATGTGTGTGTATGTGTGCATGTGTGTATGTGTGTGTGTATATGTGTGTGTATATGTGCGTGTGTGCGTGTGTGTGTGTGTACGCGTGTATGTTATGTGTGTATGTGTGTATGTGCGTGTATGTGTGTATATGTGTGTATGCGTGTGTGTGTATATGTATGTAATGTAATGTAATGCAATGCTATGCTATGTTATGTTATGTATGTGTAATTAATCGTATGCATGGATGGATGGATGGATAAATGGATGGATGTGCATACCAAGGCTCACATACCATGTGATGCCATAAAGCCACACCATTGCCATTGTTATTGCCATTGCCATCACTATTGCGGTTGCGTTCCATGCACGCACACACACACATAATACAACATAACACAATATATTATATACACACATATACCCATTAAATCTGTCTAGGTGAGTGTATGTGTGTGTGTGCGCCGGTGTGCGTGCATGCAGCGGACATGCATATCACCACGATGTTCCGCAACACAGGCTAATGACCAAGACGCATTGAACAGCGAATGATGGAATATATGGAATGATACTTTTTGACAAAACGTCTAGTCCAAATCCAAAGCCGGAAAATTGTGCTGTTGATGGTTGATAGCATCCAGGGTTGACAGAATGAGGTTCCACAATTGACCTGCCGTAGACTGCACATGCAGCAAATCATTGCATCAATAACATTGGCACCATTTGCACCAAGCCATTGACTCAAACTCTGAGCAGTCGGCACTGGTTGCAAGACGCAGCTCTCCGTGGCTAGTCCAGCAACCAGTTCCAGAGGTTTGCCTTGCTCTTCCCCTTAGCTTTTCCAGTGCAGTGCTTTACCTAGATACTTCACTAATCTTCACTAGATACTTCATTAGATACTGATACTTCATGATACTTCATCATTCCCATGCTGAAAGCTTGAGATCTGCCACTCCCATGAAGGGAACTGCCAAACAGGAATCTACCTAAACCATTCCCTTGCCATGACCATGCTATGATCGACTCCATTCCACTGTGGTATCACTTGCTATCACCTGCTATCACTTCTGGCAGCACCTGGTATGACTTCTGTGTGGGATGCTTTGGGCACGGCCCTTTAAATCTGGTGAAGCCACCAGGCCGCATTGCCCACAGCTTTCCCAGTTCACGCCGCGACCGTGATCCTGCTATGAACATTTTACGCTTACTGTACTTTACCGCACTTCTTTGCAACTTTTTTCATTACATTTTGTAAATATCTTAAGCGATTCAATGGCGGCGCGCAGCTACAGCAGAACTACAAATCCTTCATTCAAAATGTAAATCCTTGAGCGACAACATAATCTTGAAATATGCTTGTTGTCCTACCTTGGGTTGTTGTTTTGGCTCTGCTTTGGCAGCAGGTGATACCACGGCAAAGTTGTTTAGGGAAGGCAAAGTAATGCAAATGCAAGTCTGTTCAACAGCCGGCGGAAAGGCATACTAGCCATGGAACTCCGCCTACATCCCTCTGGAACCTGTACAAAAAGGGATGCAGAGCGCAATGCAGTCTCTTTTGCTGCACTGCGTCAGGAGTGTTTACCTCATTTGGCCAACATTTACAACCGGTGTGGCAGGCATCGGATTTTAGAAGCAGTTCCCACTATTAGCACAGACTAGCACCTCCTTCGAGGACGCTCTGGCACTTTGCCATCTGCTTTGTGATCTTGGATCAGCGCTTCTTCTCACCAGGCGGGCACAGGTGGCAGAAAGTGCAATCCACTCCGCTCTGGCAACCCTTTGTGTGTACAAAAGCACAGGGCTTGCAAGCGCCAACACCATGGTTCAACGATCCTATGCTTGCAAAAAGCGAACTTGCCCGAACAACTGGCGCCACTGGTGCACTCATGAAGGCATCTGGCTCAGGTTCCGAGATTGTCGCAGGCAATTTCGGGGAGTGGGCAGGAGGTGGTGGCACAAATGAATGGACAGGTGGTATGAAGATTTTGCAGCCTGCCCCACAGTCCACTGGCCCAATCTGCATTGGGTAGTCACTGTAGCCGTTCTGCAACCCAGGTGGTGGTTCCACAATGCTTCCAGGACAGTTTGGTAAATCTAGTGGATCTAGTGGTGATGCCAACTGCTCCGTGTTCAACTCTGTGTGTTCCAAATGCTCCAAACCAGGTGGTGCACGGATGGAGTTGAGCTGTGAAGCGAGTGGATGCATCTCAGGGAGGCCAAGAACACCTGACAGGGGCTGAGGCCAAGAACAACGTGACATCAGGCTGACATCTAGAGTTCCACATCTGAGTGGAGCTACACATGCTCTCTCGATCTCTCTCGATCTTTTCCAACTGTTTTCTTCACTCTGAAAATCGGCTTATGAATGTGCTCCAGATTCTAGCTCTTAAACACCCCAGCATAGCCGGCCCCAAAATATGCAATTGCAATGATTGAAAGCAAACATGCACAGCGCACTAATCAAACAATGTATGAACATTTCAATGCCAAACGAGGCCGACAAGGGCCAAGTGAACGCTCTGTTTCTTCTGCAGTCGGCCAGTCGGCAGTTCCACCGGTCGCCTGAAGATGACTTTGACCTCACACCTCTCTCATCTCTTGATTCCTGGGGGGCGCCAACCCATCCCACAACTCACAACCACCATTATGCAACAAATCAACCAACATAAAAACCGTAGCAGAATGACAAGACAAACAAAATACAGAACGTGACCTGTTGAAAGATAAAGACCGCAAATCTACGGGCCAAACAAACATGGACCTTGAAGTGCACATGGGTTCATGCCAGATCAACATCCCGCACAAATGGTGTCACTTTGCCACTTCCCTGGTCCTGAAAGCCCTTTAAGTTCGTATCCAACAGGGAAGGGTAGACAAAACTGGACGGCCGGGTGCTCTCACGCAGCTCATCTTCAGGCCTCCACAAACATCCGACAAATATGTATGATCAGTGCTGCAATCCAAAACTAATGGAGGTGAACTAGGCCTGTTCCGGCTCTCCACACAGAAATGAATTACTTTCAAGGGTTGCAGAATTCTGGATGTCAAATTAGCTATAGATTCTATAGATGCTGTCAAGTTGCTGGTTTGCTTCGGAGCTTCCAGCTGAGGTGCTCCTGCAGGGTCTTCAAGGTGGTCGCATTTTTGTAAGCTACGCTGTGTACTATTGCATCTATTGCTTATCTCATGTGATACTTGCACCAAATAAGGAACACAACACACACACAAAGACAAACAGAGAGAGAGATACTATATTAAATGAAAATATATTATATAATAATAATAATATTATATATATATTAGTATAGATATTTGCGCACAAACACGGACACCCACATTAAGACATCTCCCGACACCTTTCCAGCAATGAAACACATGGAATGTGTCTATCAACTTTGTCCTCCATGTTTTCTCAGTGAGCAATCTATCTACTGTATCTATCTATCCATCTAATCTAATCTAATCTAATCTATCTATCTATACGCATTACATACATACCATAGGATAGGTAAATGCACACAAAACAGAAATGCACATGTGATCACATGTGTATATTACATGCACACAACACGACACAATATCCAGAATCTACAATATGTAAATATATGTAAATATACAATAATATACACACATGCGGCGTCTGATGACATGGGTGTGCCGGATAACATGTGGTGAGAATCTGGATGAAGGATGATGAACCTACAGTGTATGATAACTAAGGCTGCTCGGATGCTTAATTCGGACAGCCTTGATCGGGAGGGCGGCGGGAAGGGCATTGCCATGTCGGCCTGTCAATCGAGCGACGAACCCAAGAGAAATAAAGAAAGCAACCTAAGTAAGAGCAAACAACATAAACAACTACAACAACATTGTAACATACTACAACACAGTCTGGCTTCATATTTGTGACACTCTGCGCCACTGCGTGCCAGCGTGGTGTCAACTAACTAACATCTACATTGGCCAATCTGGCTCGGAGGGGGCACCCTGCAATGTGCGCCTATAGGCCCAGTGTTTTTGGATTAGCCATGCTTCACCCCAATCTATGAAACAAAACTTCTTGAAGGATCTGGACAGCAACTGTCAACTTCAACTTCATGAGTAAAATGGCAACAACCATGATCCTCAACGAACTTCTGCTGTGCAGATTCTATCACCCACAGCCAACTGCAAGCATGATCAACTGCACAACAAACATATTGCGTCATGTTGCACCATCTGTTGGTTGGCAAAAGTCCGCCTTGCTGTCGGTCAGCCTGGTGACCATGGCGTTTAAAGTTTTAAAGGAATTTCTTCACTGCTTTGGGAGCCTGATGCCTTCAGAACCGAAATGAGGCGAAATGCTCTCGCATTTGAATATGCTCAAGTAAGACCTCAGCAAAACATGGCAAAACAGCATTTGACCCAATTGATTAAATATGCTTAAATCATTTTTGCTCGCTCTTAAGAGCGGCTTAATCGGGTTGAAGAGCGGCACAACTTTTTAACCGGAGCGGTTGATTCATACAACCAAACTTTCATTTGATTATCTGACATTAATTACTCTTACCAGGCTGCTTTCACGAGCTCTTGGTGGAAGCCGGTGCAATATCTTCACACCATGTCAAATATAGAAAATAATGTGTCCATATTTATATATTTATATATATATATACAGTATGTATATATATAACATATATATATATGATAATAATAATTATATAATTATATATATATACGGTTACCGTATATATAATATTATATAATTGCCTTCTGTGATGTTCTGAGGGCATAACTGTCATGATAACCAGCATCATTCTCCAAGGGCCCTCAGAGGCGCACACTTAGATGAAGATCATTCAGGAAAGGACCGTCTTGGTCCAAACCCTGGAAAATCATTGGGGCCTTTCAGCAACGCGAGGCAGTTTTTGCCGCTCCGAACAATGCGGTGTTGCTTGAGCAGTCGTTCATTAGGGAGGCTCCTTGCTTGAAGGAGTTCCCTGTCTCTGGGGCTGTGAGTTTCAGATTAGACTTGAATTTCATTCCAAGCTTCCCGCTATGCATCATTGGGTTGTTGAGCTCTTATGCTTTGTTTGCGTCCTAAACAGTCCCCGAAAAGTGCTCTTAGGCCATGGGCGACAAGCAACTATCCATTCACAAAAGGCAGGAACGCTGGCCTGCTCCATGCGCAACAGGCAACAAGCAGCAATCACACGGACCGAATACTTTCAAATACACACCACACAACTGCAACGGAGCAATATAACAGCAGTAACTATAACATACTATTACATCTTAACTCAAATAATTTAATTGCAGCATAGCAGTATATAGTAATATGATGTATACTGTATATATAATGTGAATATAGTACTGAATATACACTAATTACATATAGTTATATATATAATATTGTATAATATGTATAATATGCAGTAATGTAGTACTAAAATGTATTAAAATAACCCGTATACCGTATATCTGTTGTGCGTATCGTACGCCCGGTCAACCATACACCTTATTGCACCGGCACTTTGGAGCACATAGCCTGTCTGAGAGTCCGGTCCATCCATTCATCCGTCAATCAATCCATTCATCATATTTCATTATCATTCATTCATCTATTGATCTATATAGCTTTTCTATGCTTTTCTCCCTGTATCCAAACTATCTAGCGATTTAGCTAGCTAGTGCTAGCTATCAGCCCATGTATCCATTGCTCCATCCATCCATCCATTCCGCAAGCACGATCTCGCGCTTAGGAACTATATGATTGATCATGATTGGGTTTGGGGCACGGGCAACATGCTAGTCTCACTAAAGTAGTGACACTATGTGACACTAGTATTTCGGTTGAACTAAACCTTGGTCAATGACATTCTTGGATTCTAGCATTTTCTTGGAGCATGTTTCTCACTTGTCTGGACCATGTGTGACAATTTGCAATGTCATGCCACGTCCCTGCCTCAGTCAGCATCAATGCTCCCAGATTGTCTCCTGTCGTTCCGTGTGCAAAAAAAGTCAAAGTTTTCCTCCTACTTTCCTTTTTCACATCTTCACCATAAGAGCATGCGTATCCATTCCTTTTTGGACCTGTAGGCGGTCACCACAGTGGCTAGTGTATAAACTTACTGCAAGTCCGTGAGGGAAAAACCGCGAGCAAATGCAACAAGAAGAGCGTATGAATGGTTATGAATGCGTGATACTCTCATCTATGTCCAAAGTCTATCTTAGTGAGCGAAAGTGTTCTTGTCTTTTGATCTTGCAACTGTCGTTTTTGGAAAATAAACATAGACCTCGGTTTCTCGTTTCTCCTTCTCGAGGTCTATGTTTGTTTAGATGAGTGTAATGTTTGTCTTTCTCTCTCTCTCTCTCTCCCCTCCTTTGATTTACTTAGTGCATTTTGCACAACGTGGCTGCGCTATGCTGCGCTGAGGTCTGGGCTCTGCATCAGCAGGAATCTGCTGGGGATCCAACTGGCGAAGTCCAAAATTCTGAACTGTAAAGACATGCGCAAACATGTATAAACGATGATAAACGACGATGGCACGGGCTGTCATCTGCATTTCATATGCTATCTGCTATCAGCTGCTATCATTGCTATCTGGACCGTCATCTGAACAATAGACGTGCTGAGTTACTGAAAAGGGAGGCAAACTGAGAAGAAAGGTAAGAAGGAAAAACATGGTAAGGACACAGAAGGATAGAACAAGTTCCAGAAAGATGCCGTTTAAATTTTGAAGCTGCAACATATCATGTGCATCATGTTTGCAGCATCTCTGGGATGTTGTGACAGCCATGTAGAACATTTCAATGCATTGCATCTGCATGGTATGGGGAGAACCTCCTGTGCGTTTGTAAAGTCACTTGTCATGTCGGTAGACAGCAGCTCTTGTGTGAAAAGTATTTGTCCGACAGTGTTTGTGGCATTTTACGATACATAATGTCTTGGAGCTGGAACCTATCGCTTGCATATATCGCTGTTGTGACATTCTGGGAGCTACAGTAGTACCTTCACTTCAGCAGAGCAGTTGTAACATTTTGGTACATTTTGGAGATTGCGCTTCTTATTTTGGAAGAGTTTTGGCTGCAGTATTTCTAGTCTTCGTTGTTTTGGTTGTGATCGATGCTGTTCTTGTTGTTGATATTTCTGCCTTCGTTCCCTCCGTTCCTAGATGGATCTTGTCAATTGTTTGTCTTCTTGATCCCTATCGCAGCTCTTATGATCTCTTATGATTGATGCTATCATCATTAATGTTCAATCCTTGCCTTTTTGATCCTCGAACCTGCACCAGTCAAACCAAAGGAATAAAGAAAACGGGAAGAGGTTAGGAAAGACCAAGGAATTACAGTCGTCATTCCTGCATGAACACCGCTTCATTGAGGCATATGATGTCACATGCCCTCTCAAGACGAGACCACTCGAGAAAAGAGGTTTTGCGTAAGATGTCTTCGAAACCTTAAGTCCTTTTTCCTCAACTTTACTCAACCTATGCGAGGCAAATTCCCAAGTAAGTATGTGGTTCGCTGAAAGCTGCGGAGAAACTGCCAAGAGAAAACAAAAAACATCAAAAAACACTACTGGCCAAACTATGCCTTTTCATGCCTTTGGGTAATGATTCTAAATGTAAGTGCATGGAATGACATGGCTAGGCCACGAATACCCACAATGTGGGTAGAATCTTCGGGGTCAAGCTTCGAATGACAAAACCGTGAAACAGGATGAACATGGATGAACCAGGATGATCAGGAAGACCTACCCGTATCACCGTGATCCCCTCATATCTATCCGATACACCTGGCTGGCTGAGAGCTCACTGGGTCTGAAGGCTGCTTCACGTGGGCGCCGGCGCTTGCCTTTTGCATCTGTTGGCGTTGAAATGCGTTCGGCTTACATAGCTTCAAAAAAACGTAGAACATCGACACCCTCGTGTGAATGACTAAGCATCATGACACTAATGGACATTCGTTGGGCTGGGCTACAGCTGCTGATTTTTCAAGTTCATCAACCCGCAATGGCAATTTGCATGGACATTTGCATAGCTGCTGCTGCATGTCAAACTGAGTCAACCACAATAACAGCCAAACAATCCAGTCCAGCCAGACTCGATTTCCTTCACCCGAGCATTCCTAAGCTTCGTAGCTCGCCGTAATCCATAACCACCAAATGTTAAAAACAAGAGTGACGAACTGGTGCGACGGTGCGACATAGTGCAGCTGCATGCCTAATATTCCTGAGACTTGTTGAGTTACCCACTCAGTTCAAACTGGCAGTTGAAAAAACCCTATGCAACCAACTTATGCAATAACATCCGCATGGTGATTTGGCAGCAAGGGATACGAACAGATTTTGTTCAACTGAGGTCATTTTCAGGATCGACCCGTCGCCAAAAAAAGGTTCCCGGCTGTAGTAATAATTTGCGCATGTGTGCAGATTGGCACAACATCGTCCAAATTCTCCGTTTCGATCCGACATGGCCGCAACATGGGCTCCACTTGGGGCCAACTTTGGCCAACAAGGCCCCAACTTCGGCCCAAACTTGGACAACTTGGCTCCAACCTGCCGCAACTTGGCCCCAAGTTGGAAACACGGTCGGCGTTTTTAATCGTTTTCATTGGTCTTTTCCAATTTTTTGTTGTATCGATGATGCTTCGCATTGAGCAATGTTCCCTACAAGTAAATGCCGTAAGTCACCCCAGGTCGCATTAAGCCACCCCAGCTGCATGGAAACACCGACGCTCGCTCTAACTCGACCCAAGCGCGTTAAGCCAACCCAAATTTGGCAAAATATGGCACGCTATCTGAACATGATAGATGCCATGCGTTGCAAACAAGCAAAATCGAGCGCACACTGCGCGCACATATGTCATTTATATGGTTTGGACCGGTTTGGAGCCATGTTTCTGCATGCAAGTCCCAACGGGCACGCTGCAATTACAGATCTCATGGCCCACTTTAAGGGTTACAGTATCCCTGGCAGCTGGAACAAGTCTCGGCGCGAGTGTCGCGACTCCTCACGAGGGCCCTGACCAATCCCGGCCCGGGCCAGCCCACCACCCCGGCCAGCCAACACCCACGGCGCCGCGCACACGCTGCAAGCGCTTGATGCAGGCTTGCCGTTCCTGTGTGCAATCGCCGTCCATCCAAGGAATCAGATGGAATCAACTCTCAGCATTGCCCGTGCTGTCCACCAGGTGCCCTGTAGCATGAATGAAGACCAAAGCCCAAAGAAATCTGGCCAGAGGATAAAGAGAACAGTCATCATGACGGAGTATGACGGAGTGACATGCGCACACCAATGAAATATGATTTCGTGAAAATATATGAAAAAGAAA